CGCTTACCGCCTGTATCACGAATGCCAGACCGGTCAGTCTGCCGAACATCGTGCCCGATTACTAAACACAAACTTGCGTGGTCTGGTGGATATATGGTTAGCTGTGGTTTACTCGCGTTTGCGAGGGGGTAACATAGGTTTACCAAGTTAATAAAGTACCATGTCAATAACAGGTTTGGTTGGATATGTGTTAGTATAATCACTGCCACTACTTTTTTCTTTCTTTCTTTCTTTCTTTTTTTTATTTTATTATTATTTTTTTAAATACATCTTTGCTAAGAAATGTCTGGCCATGTCACTCAAAATGAATTTCATATGTGTATCATCATTGAAAATTAAAATGTCAGGATTATTGATACATTTGATACATATTGATACAAATTATGCATTTTTTAATTGTCCTGAATGTATCAATATCTTAGTGATCCTAAATGTAGGCTGCGTTTTTGCAGTGCAATAATAACTATATGAATAATCATAATAAATTATAATAATAATTGTTATTATTATTATATGTTGTGGTATTGTTTAGGGCAGTTTACCAGTTCTCTTTACTGTAATGCATTTTGACATTTTACTTTTTCCATTATTTTAATGATGATTCTCGTTGCTGTAATACAGTAGTACAGTACAAAAGTTGCAAAGTAAAATAAATGATAAACAATGAACATAAAAGGCAGTAAAACAAACAGTATTGTCATGAATAGTACTTCTTACTATTATTTTCACAAAATAATGATTATGAATTCTTGTGCTCAATAAAAAATGTAACAAAAAAATAAATTGTTCTTAGTTCTTCAACTTACTCATTGTGCATAATTATTTTTTTTCTTTAATTCTGTTTTTTATTTCTTTTTAAAATTAGTGAATGTATTTTTTAACAGGAAAATGTTTTGAAATGTCTTTAATTTGAATCATAACAGAAAAACTTGTGTGTTAATAACCAGATGTTTCTATTCTGATCCCTGCTATCTTCTGAAATTAATTTATGATAAGTAAACTTCTCTTTCCCTCTGCAGGTGCCCCATGTCTGAGTTTTGATGTGGTGTGTGATGGTGAAGGAGAAGGGCGGGAGCATTTTCCTCTCTCTATGGTGCTGTGTGCAGGTACACAGGCGGACATCGCCTTAAGCAACAGGTAAACTGACACGAATGCTGTCAGAGCTTGCTACTTTTATCGTTCTGCAACAAACATCTAATACCTTTATGATGCCTGGCTTCCAAAGATGATGACATTTTCATCTCTATCCAGGCTTATTGTCATGCGCATGCACAATCTTCATGAAACTGACAAAGATAGAGATGAAAATGAAAGCAGTGATGAAGAAAGTGATGAAGATGAGGACGAGGAGAAGAAACCACAGTTGGAGCTGGCCATGATGCCACATTATGGTGGGATCAACAGAGTCCGAGTAAGTCTAGTTACTTTAATATTTACTCTTCCAGACTTTTAGAGTTTTAATTATAATTTTACAGCTTCAATGATAATTGTAATAATAAATAACAGCAGTATGTAATAATTAAACATGTAATCCAGTTTCATTTTCTTAATCATCATCTAAAGTTATGATGTTTTTACTTTAACAGGTCAACCGGCGAGGTGAACAGACATTGGCTGCGCTCTGGTCAGATAAAGGACAGGTGGAGATTTTTGACCTCCGACCTCAGCTTGAGGCGGTGCACAGTTCGTCAGCGATGTCGGCCTTCATCAAGCAGCAGAAGGAAGCCACTCCTCTTTTCAGTTTTTCTGGTCACATGTCAGAAGGATTTGCCATTGATTGGTCACCCAAGGTACCAGGTGAGTAATATGGATTGTAATATTAATATCCACCTTATTTTTCAAAGCAGGAGTAAGCTATTTTCTGTGAATGTGCGGAAGTACGGATTCATTTGTTGCTGTAGTAAATAACTAGAAGAACAACAAAGTGCAGTAAACAGTAAAACTATTTGCATTACAAACAAGTATGTTCATGATTACGATAATAAATGAAAATAATATAATAATATCAAATACCAGTTTGCAATATCAAGCAACATAACGGACTGTTTTTGTACAGCTAAAATAACTAGAAGCGGATGACACAGGAAGCCTTGCACATTCAAGTTAAAAATGGTCACACACTCTTATGTTAAAAATATGTATAATGGACAGATCAGGGTCTTGCCTCCATACAAATAGATTAATGGGACTACTGACTAAGACTCAAATAATTTCATGTTTACCTACTTTAGGACGCCTGGTAAGCGGCGACTGCAAGAGGAACATTCACGTCTGGGAGCCACAGGAGGGTGGGACTTGGAAAGTTGACCAAAGGCCTTTCAGCTCACACAGCAAGTCTGTTGAGGACCTGCAGTGGTCACCTACTGAAGCCACAGTATGTCAGTCAAAAGAGAATGATAATATTAAAATATTTTTTACAAGTGGATATAATGGGTAAATTAGTGCTTCTCTCTCACCTCCAGGTTTTTGCATCCTGCTCAGTGGATCAGTCCATTCGCATTTGGGACATAAGGGCACCACCTAATTCCATGCTGTCAGCCAATGAGGCTCATTCTTCAGACATCAATGTTATTAGCTGGAACCGGACTGAACCTTTTATTTTGTCTGGAGGAGATGATGGCCTCCTGAAAGTCTGGGATTTAAGGCAGTTCCAGGTGAGCAAGAGGAAACAAATATTAATGTTTTATTTTCCAACTAAAACATTACCAAAGTGAAACAAGTCAGTCTGAGGTTACATGAAGAGACAGAAGCAATTGAGGCCACATTTTTTGCATGTCTGTTTGTCAGGTAAATTCTTCCAGGGTGTTTAGAACAACCTACTTGCAAACTACAGTACTTTTAAAACGTGCTATAAAGCGACAATCAAAAATAATTCTATGAGTAGTTTATTTATTAATTATTTTTAGAATTAATGTACACTACCATTTAAAAGTTTGGACTCTGTAAGATGTTATGTTCTTGAAAGAAGTCTCTAATGCTCACCAAGACTGCATTTATTTGATCAGTATACACTAAAAACAGTAATATTCTGAAATATTATTACAAAATTAAAAAATGTATATTTTAACATGTAATTTAAATGTCATTTTCAGCAGGCATTAGTCTTCAGTGTCACATGAGTTTTCAGAAATCATTCAAATATGTTGATTTTATCAATGCAGAAAACTTTTTTTTTGCTGCTTAATATTTTTGTGGAAACAGCTATGTTTCTGTGATTCTTTGAATACAAAGTTATAAAAACAGCATTTTTTAAATGGATATGTTTTATAATATTATAGATGTCTTTACTGTCACTTTTAATCAGTTTAATGTGTTCTTGCTGATTAAAGGTATAAATACAAAAAACCTACTGACCCCAAACTTTTGTACAGTGTTTTATATTATCTGTATGTTACTTATTTTTGTTTATTGTTTAAAGTGATCACATTCCTGTTTCTTTTTTTCAGTCTGGACATCCAGTGGCCAGTTTTAAGCAGCACAGTGCTCCTGTGACGTCTGTGGAGTGGAACCCTGTTGACTCCAGTGTGTTTGCTGCTTCTGGAGCTGATGATGTTATTAGCCAATGGGATCTGTCAGTGGAGTCATGTGACATGGGAGAACAGGCAGGGGGCTTAAAACAGCTACCACCACAGCTACTGTTCCTTCACCAGGGCCAGAAAGAAGTGAAGGAGCTCCACTGGCACCCACAGATTCCTGGACTTCTCATTTCCACCGCGCTGTCGGGATTCAACATCTTCAGAACTATTTCTGTTTAACTGTGTGCGTGTGTCTGTGTGAGTGGGAAGAGAACGAGAGACTGGACAGTTTCAGGCAGAAAGAATGTGCATGTGTAGAATTTTAAATGTACATAGATGGATGAATGGAACATCTAGGTATGCATGACTCGTATGTATTTCTGTCATTTTTCCATCCCTTCCGGAACCAATATTTCAACTTCTTGAGGCAGAAATAATGTAATTGTATGATGAATTACTAATTTGTACTCGTTAAAATGTTCTAAATCATCCACAAGTCTGTTGGTTGTGTATTAACATTATTTATAACACGAGCATATTTACCGAAGAGCCACTTTTCCTTGGGTATCCGTTCAGTAAAAAAAAAAAAAAGATTAGGACTTTTCTCTTAATGGACATAACAGAGTATTCTTAGTCTTTCAGTTTAAAGCTAAAGGCAGACTGTGGGTTTTATGGGTCAAAACCATAGTAGCCTTCACACATATTATAATAAACAGAAAAGTGTTTTGTTAGTCCTTATTTCTTCATGTAAAATAATTGACAATTCAACAATTCCTTTTACATTTTGCCTTGGACAAACTGTTTTCAGTTGACAACTTTACTGAAGGAAATTTGTTAAGCCTAGATAAAATCACGATGAAACCATGATTTTACCAGGTTATATTGAAAAAAGGTTGGGGTTTTTATGCATTAATTGAGTGCTCTGAATTTGCCTTCAAGACTGAGACGAGTTCAGTGTCTCTTGCTGGAAAGGAAACGGTTTTAATATGGAAGGATGCCCTCCAGTGTAAATATGAAGAAAGGACTTGTTTACATTTTTGGCCAATTTTTTGGGACATTTTTGTAAATACTCAACTCCACTTCCAGCAATTGTTACCTTTTTTACTTTGATCTTTAGCTGGTGCTGTAATAATAACTCTGGACTTGTAGTCATGTATGTGGCATTTGTAGATAGTGAACAGCATATACAAAAATGTATAACATTTAGAATTATTCTGAAAAGTCTTGGAACTAAATTAACCTAATTTTATTTATTTATCTTTCCATCCATAAATCTATCAATCCATCTAACCTTCATGGAAATATCTCAAGGCAAAATGATCCCACACTGATGCAATTAAAATAACATGGGAGGGAGTTACAAGATAGTATTCATTTATTTACTTGACTTTAAAATAAAAAAATATATCAATAAAAATAGCATACTTACAGAAATTCATTTGCCTCCCTTCAGCACATTCAAAGAATGCAAAATGCCACAAATAGTTTAATAAAACTTTTAATTACACATTTTGGTCTAGCCCAATCTACATTATTTCAATTGGCAGAGTGATTTAAGTGTAAACTCACTGATTGTCTGTTATATATTCTTTAGTATTCAAATCAAACAACTGGGAAAGCAAGATAAAAGCAACTGCTTTTAAAACGAATCCAGCCTATTGAAGCTTTTCATGCTTCTCTTTATGAATCTAGTCGAGTGCTACAGTCAAATGATCGACTAGATTATTTTCATTCACAGTTTAAAAGCTATACAGTTTGCGGCTGTTTAGCTTTAAGACTATTTTGTAGTGTGTAACTATTAAGTGCATTTCATTGTTGCACTTTTTAAATGAGTACATCTCCAACAACAATACACAATCTGATTGCTTCTTCCATTTTAAGATATGAATGTATATGTAATGAAAACTCCCAGGAGAAAATTCCAGCATTTGTGAATGCATTCAGCAACCTTGCATCTTCCCACAAAAAGAAAAGCTTCATCATTGGCTTTTCAGTGAAACTAACATTGGAAACATTGGAAAACATCTTCATGTAAGGCACTGTAGATAACCATAATCTAAACATCACCTTTTTGTTCCATTCTGTATGAACTTTAGGTATTCACTCTCCATCAAGATTAAAGCTGTTTCCAGTTAACTGAAGAAGGCAAAGTGCCCTTTAACGGTGTTATGAATTGGAAAAACTGAACATTTATTTTACTGCTCAACATTATATAGATGAGACCGTGGGAAATGTATGAATATGTCTGTTCATAGGTTATTCTTTGTAAGACATCACACTGTCCATGGGAGACTTTCAAAATTTGTAGTTATAAAATCCAATAAAAAACAAAACCGTAACATTGTCTTACTTTCATAAAATAGTTCCAAAAATGAGCAAACACCATTGTAAACTTGGAAAAGAAAGTTCCAAATTGTCCAGTTATTACCTCAAGATGAAATTTTCATTACCTCTCCCTGTATGGATGTTTTTTCCTTTTTAAGAATAATTCTGTTCATGTCATGATCCATATGCCAGTGACTTATTTTTGGTCCTCAAATCGCTCAATATGTCCTCTTATAGGCCAATCTCATCATCGAATTCGTCCTCAAAAGTGTATCCTTGTTGTCCGTTGGCACCCTCCTCCTCTGAATCTGTTTCTGAAAGATGCTGGTCTTCTCTCCTCCGGTCCAATGGTGAGACTCCCTCATATTCTGAGCTCACTGAGGAAGAGAGGCTTGGAGAGTTGTCCTCCCTCCGATTAACCACCTCTGCTTGTCTTGGGTCTTTGTCGTAAGCCGTTCTCCCACTAATCTCTTGCATCTCCTTATTTGGTCTCAAGCCCATTTCTTCTTCAACTTCCACATCTAGCCCTTCGATTATCTCCTGTCGCCCGATGATCTCATCACGTTTGTCGCTGAATCGCACTTTGGGCCTGAGCCCTTTTGATTTCACGCCATTGACCTCGTTGAGTTGCTCATCTTGTTGGCTCACCTCTTTGGTCATACTTTCCATTCTCATCCTCTCGCTCAACTCATTGGCAGCACTCCTTGGTGACATCATCACATCTCTTGTGCTCTTGCTGGAACTAAACACCTCTTCATTGTCTTCGTGAAAACCCATCGTCAGACCGTCCATCACTCCCAGGACATCTCCTAAAATCGAAGGCCCTAAATCCAAGTCGAGGTCAAAGGAAGAAACTGAATCGGAATGCCGGAGCTCATTCGGACCGGTATCTTCTGCGTATTCAAATTCATTGTTATGGTTCATCTGATTGTCTGTGGTCTCTACAGTGGCTGCCACGTCTGGTTGCACAGACTTGGGATTAGGACTAGAGGGGCCATGGCTGGACAGGAAAGAGGTGTCACCAAAAGCGTCTCCACCACGACCAATGTGCATGGTGTGACGGAAATCACCCAGGGGGGCAGAGATCATGGTGGGATCCAGACGAGGGGTTCGAGAAGATGATTTTTGGAGAGGCATGGTAGCAATTGAGGAACGAAACTGCAAAGTCAGATGAAGAAAAGGTGTAATAAACATTTAAAGTGCAATAAAATGGTTTATAACTAACCATTATATTACATTATAATTTGTTAATTATTATTTAATATTGCTTGTTTTTTTGTATGGTCCTTGTATGTAAACATTTGTTTTTAAATGTATTATACAAATAAAATGTGATTGATTGTTAGTTACAATAAGACTACATTTTATTATATTTAATGTTCATTTTATGTTATGACATTTTTTAAATATCTTTCCTTATCCAAGTTTTTATTCAGTGTGATTCAGTTTTAAGGGAGATATGAGATATAAGACACGTGATTATAATACTCGGTAAATTCCATGTTTTATCCACAGTCAGGTATTGAATCATTACGTTGCACAAAAAAAGAAAAAGAAAAAAGTTATGATTGCGTAAAGGCTGTGAAAAAGAGGAGCTGACAGACGCCAAAGCCAAGCTCGGACTTGTATGTGAAGCGCGTGCTTAAATGCATTCTTCCCTCGAGCTTTCTCGCGAGGACGAGACACAAAGTCTCAGATAAACAATATGAACGTGCCCACATCTTTTTAAAACGTAATTGCATTAAATAATTACTATTGAGATTTATGACAGAAACAGACCGTTTTCTGAAGCCCAGGAAATTATTTTAAAGCACAGGGATAATTTCTTACTTTATTATAGCCTATTTATTTACTAAATAGTTTTACATACTTTAATATATTTACTTGATTCGACATAAACATTTCATAATTAGCGCGTTTCACCCGTTATTGTTGGTAAAACTCTATTTTAGGGTCATTTGAGAATCTTATTAACACGAAAGAAATAAGCAATATCGCTATATTCAAAAACAACTGTAACAGTTGGAAAGGGAATCAGTTCTAGACGCCTTTACCAGATCTATTGACTACGAGAATAAAATCAGATATTCTGAGGCCAGTTCATCTGATGAATACTATAAAACAACTTTTATGTTAAATATAATACACATTAGATGAAAACGAAGTAGTTTAATTGCAGCCAAGTAACTCTTACCAGTGATCTGTTAATTTTAAGCAGAAGACCTGCCTTTTGCCCAGGAATGCGTCCTCCTGTCCAGTGAAGCTGTAATAGAGCAAAAATCAATTTGTTATCAAATAGTCTAGTTTAATGCAATGAAGGTCCCTAAAGTGGGAGTAACTGCCACTAAAAGTTACGCGCCCAACTGAGTTATCCAATAGGTTTCCTTCAAAACGACAGAATTAAACTTACTTTGATCACTGTGTGCTTATCAGTGAGCTTGTACCTATTTGTTCTTATAACCAAATGTATCTTTCAATGTCTTTCGCTTTCCTTCTTTTACTGACTTTTCTGGCGTCGCTCTTCTCTCCGATATTTCTTTTTTTTTCCTTTAGGGATGGGCAAGGAAGTGACGTCAGTTTTGTCCGGGAGCGCTCTGGCTGGCTGCAGCTGTAAATAGTCATAAATGTACTGACTGACGCAGCGCTGCCTGTAACCTGGGTTTTTATTTTTTTTCCTATCAGAACAAAATTATTTCACACGAATTTTTGTCTTATTACTGTGTGGACACGGTCGGTCCAACCTCACTCAAGTGTAGAATCGGGTAATTCAGGAGTAATCAGGGTTGAAGGTGAACAAAGCATAATCTCCTGGGACCCGCAGGCATAGACTTTTGTCCTCTGTAGAGGCCATTATATTTTAGTGAATTTCTCTGAGACTTTACATGCCACAGCTTCTACTTGTTATTTAAATATGACTGAAATTGACAGAATGATCAATTTTAGCACTCTTAGGGAAATATAATATTTTTAAAGGGGTCCTATTATGCTCTTTTACAAAGTCTTGATTTTGTTTTGGGGGTGTACTAGAACATGCTCTCATACTAGGTTGTTCAAAAAACACATTATTTTTCACATATTATATATACATTATTACAACACCTCTCTCCTCAGTCTGGCATGAACGGCTCGAATAGTTCCTGTATCAAATGAAGGCCCGCCTTCTGAAATACGAAATGTGCTGTGATTGGTTAGCTGGGCCAGTGTGTGTTGTGATTGGCAGCACTCGGCGCCTGGTCTGGAAATGTCATGCCCCTTACCATAGCCGCCTGCGAGCTTCAGTGTAAATATTGCGTCAAAATCAAATCAATTTGAGCGCGATTTAAACCCGGATGATTGTAACCACTCTAAGTTCATCTGCCTTGGGAAAGCTAGCGTGTCTCCGACATAGTGATAACACTCGTTGCCTTCTCTAGTGCAGCTCAACCAGGTCTCGTCCCATTCGTCGATATTTGTGATATCACAAATCCCGGAAAATATGCGTTGTAGTCCAAACGAGTCGTTCGTTGTAGTTTTTGAAAAGTGATTTCTGTTAAATAAAATATCTCCTTTTGAAGTGGACTTTGAGCTTTGTAACTTTGCAGATCTTTTTTTATGCTCAAACAGCAACATTACAGACTAACTAAAGTTGAAAAAGTGAAAACGCATAATAGGACCCCTTTAAATCTGACTCATTTTGAAATCATTTGTCATAAACATCTATGGGGTTTCAAATCGGAATATCACTTTTTGTTACGAAACAAGGCATCATTTTCATATGTCTTCTGTAGAGGACACCAGGACAAATAGCATGTTAATCAGGCATTTTGGGGAGACACAAAAAGTCAATAGGGGAAAAAAATGATAGATCAATATTCCTATGAAATATGAGATATTCTTATGAAAATGTTGCCAAGTTATTACTCCCATTATAACACTTCTTTTTTCATTATGGTTTGCCTGAAGAACACATTCATATGCAAATTAGATGCAGTGTAGCCTATAGATACATTGTATAGAATGGGAATATCAAATTATGTACATTTTACGCACATATTGCATAAAGTAAAATAGTATATCAAATCATTCTGTTATATCTTTAATAACATAGTTGAGAACAGGGCTGGACTGGGGTTGCAATTCAGCCTTGGACAAATCCAGCCCATCTGGCCCACGAGTTTCCTCTTGAATGATTTACTGGGTTATATAGGGCCTTAAATTGGAGTAAATAAATGAATAAATTCCATTTTTTTCTTATGCTCTAAACAATGTAATGACATGAAAAAATACTAAATTCACAAAGCTTTTTATTTCTGGTTCTCAGGAGGATATTACTGAATTCATAACAAATGCTACAACTTAATAAGGCATTTTTTGTCCCATAGAAATGCACTTGATTTTGAGCTAGAATGCAGAAAATTCAATTCTGTCATCATTTCCTCACTCTCATGACTTAGCCTACTTTCTGCTGTGGAACACAAAAGAAGATATTTTGTAGAATGTTACCAAACCATTTTGGTTACCCTTGATTTTATGGACAAAAAAATATTGAATTTCTCAAATCATCTTATTTAATGATCCACAGAAGAAAGAAATTCAAATTCGATTCTTGCTCTGTTTACCACTTTACATCGTCACACTTTTGGAGTAGGCTCTTTGCATGCGCTGTAATTCAAAAACAGCGCCTATTATGGGGAGGTCTCCTTCGGCCCAGTACTCGACCGGGAATGTCCCGGTGCTCCCGATGGCTAGTAGGCCTACATGCCTGGTTGAGAATCATCTTTGTACAAAGTTTGGTTAAAAATAGCCTGAAACCTAAAAACTCTTTGGTGAATGAAAAAAAATAAAGCATTGTTTTTGCCTATACATGCCCTTTCATGTCTATTTATTTTTTGAATAACTTAGTCCTGGCGTCCTCTACAAAGGACATAGAATAAAACATGAATAAACTATCTTTTTTCAAAAATGTTTTTTTCTACATTTGTTTCTTATGCTCCAACCAATGTAATGACATAAAAAAAACAACAACAACAAAATTCACAAAATTTTTTTTTTTATGGTTCTCAGGAGGATATAGGGCTTTATAGGACTATTTGTACATTGTGTGTTTAGTTTATTGCCATGGATGAAACACAATGACACACGTTTTCGGAATCCTGTCTGTCAACATTTCAAGAGCTTGTTTAAGCAGAACCTGTTCTAAAGCTCTGTTTTGTGCTTTGTTTTTGTATATCCTTTTGTATATCCACGTATATCACTTTCACCATCAATATTATAACAGACGTGCAAAGGCCAAGATGAAAAAGCTAAAGATTTCTTTAAGTTAAAAGTTGTGTGAAATAATGTTCAGGAAAAAAAAAATCTAGTTTAGGCTATTTAAATGAAACAGTTTGTTGAACCTTTAGATGAAATAAAAAAGAAAATCTAAAAAAAAAAAAAAATCTAAAAACTTTTCAAATAACACAAAATATCGAGTTTATATATAAGCCTAAGTTGCTTTCATTTAGTAAATGTTCATCTTGAAATATTGATAGCATAAAATTTGTTCTTACATTTACATTTTAAAAATCATTAAAGATTTCGCAGCAAAAAGACATCCTGAAGGAGAATATTTTTAGAATTAAAGTATGACACTTACTAAAATATGAACTATCAATCAGAAGGCAGAAAGCATGTAGAAGATTGTGTACAGTATAACAGAAAAAAAGTTATTATTGTTTTTAATTTAGAGGACTTAAAAATTCATGTATCAAATATGGCACAGTCTTTACAGAGCTCAAATTAATTACAGACTAAAGGCTACAACTGACATCCTTTCTCCTTTGGTGGCCAAGATTTCCTGCCTGGGACGAGAATTCAAGGATGCTGCAGCTGAGCCATGAATCACATCACATCACATCACTTCCTTTTTCATAGAACGGCTTATGTCACACTAAAACACACTATCACTAGGGTTACTAATACAATGATGAATGGCTGGAAGTGTTGCCAGTGTATGAGATCACAAATAACACCCAGCATTACTGAAGGAGTGGTTTACTCAATTAGAGAATCCATTTACATGAAACACTAAATCAGTCTATTTTTATCTTTACAATGCCAAAATAAGTCTGAACAGTATTTAAACATGGATTTATATTTGCCCCCTGTAAACTCCCCAGATTTCGAAAGGAATACTTGGCATTGAATACAGGAATGTTCGAAACATTGTGGAGCCAAGAAGCATATCAAAGTAAACAGTATACTTACATATAAAGTGCAATAAATGCAACACAGTAGATCTCTTTAACACCAGAACACATAAATATCTATTGAACATTTACTTAGCACACAACAACCTTTCCAGAACAAGGTTTTATCATATGTAACCATTCTGATGAAAATGTCGCCACCCAGTGGTGGGTCCTTAAAATCTTTTGGTCCTGAATTAAAACGAATTGAATTAACTAAACTGAGTAAAAACAACTATATAAAAATAAATAATAAATAAATCTATAATAAATCTCTTTTTTTTCTTTTTATAGTAGCCTGTTAACAAAATAGAACTTAATCAGAGACTTTTAATTTGAAAATCAAGTCAATTTAATATACTAAATTGAGGTAAAACTAATATAGACTATATAAATATATATAAAATGATAAATTAATCTATAATTCATTTTTTTTAATTTTTTTATTGTAGGCTGTAAAAAAAAATAGAACGCAAACAGCGACTTTTAATTTGAAAAGAAAAAATAATCTCTGTGGCAGGACGCCTGTTCTTATCTAGTGTAGCTGCCTGTCAGCCTGTTGTGAATGTCGGAGGATGTCTGACAACGCAGAATCTCCTACAGAAAATCAAAAAGATGATCCCTCGATACAACACACTGCCACTGAACACACTGGATCGTCGGATGAGAAGAAAAAGAGTATGGTTTTAGAATTATATACATGAGCAGAGAAACGGTTATGCATTAATTTCTAAACGCTGCTGCATTGATTATTTCGCGTAGTTTATTAGCGAGCTACTTCCGCGATTTCTCGAAGATTGACCGCTCTGTCAGCCAATCAAGGTGCCGTATGTTTAAAGGCAGCCAATGGCTGACCAAGCATGGGTGTTTTTTTTTTTTTTTTTTACCGTGACAGACCATGACAGAGATTGTTAGAGTTGTAGTTTTTTTATTTAATTTAAAGAAAGTTAGGCCTAAATGCTAATTTAATTAATTATATTAATATTAATTAATCATTCTCATAGTGTGGCTTACGGTAATATCTTACCACCTTTTCAACCATAGGTGATAAGTTATTACCGTGTATTATTTCACATTTAATTGCTTCGTGTGAACACCTTTGCGGACCCCATGGCAATATTGTACCATACTAATGTATTTACGTAATGCTTTTATTGCAAAGTCTATATTATTATTATTATTTATGTATAGAGTCATATACTTTTTTTTTAACATTTTTACTTCACTTGCTTTCAACATTTCAGCATCAAACAATAATTAGCAGCACACCCCTGTGGAAAAAGTGCATTTAATTGTTTTGAATATGCACTTAGTGTACTTCAAATTTTAAAATTATATTTAAAAACTGTACTTATAATAATATGTAATATAATAATAACATACTTATAGTATAATATAATACCATACTTATTCTGACCTGTGCTTATTAAAATATATAAAAAGTGATCATTCTACAGTTTATTATATTTTAAATGATTAAAAACTAAATGACCATATATGTCTATGGAAGGATATTTGGCAATACACTTTAAGCATATTCCAAAGACAGTAGAAATAATTAGAAAATTGCCTATAAAGATGAACTGAAGTCCTACTTAATTGGGTCAAAAACATTATTAACTATTAACTAATTGCAGTTATTAAAAATGTAGGCCTTAATACATTTTCATTTAATTGTAAATAACATGTAATTTAGTGTCTGAAAACATTACGTTCACACTTAAGGAAAAGTAAGTGTGATAAAGTATATTATTTCCTCTGACTCTGATGTGGGATATTGCAGCTTCTCTTACCAATTATATTGCATTTTATTGCTTATTATCATATTAACATAACATATCTATTCATTAAAAATTTATATCAAATTTCAGATATAGTCACATTCCAGAAAACTGCAGTTATTAACTTCATTCTGCACACAAAGGAGTTCGCTACATGGCATGTAATATACTGTATGTATGTATGTATGTATGTATGTATTTTTCTTTTTTCTTTTTTTTTTGGCTAATTGTATCTGTAATGAATTTCAACTTCTTAAAGGGATAGTTCACCCAAAAAAAGAAAATTCTGTCGTCATTGTCACCCTCATGTCATTCCAAAGTTTCTTTCTTCTGCTGATCACAAAAGAAGATATTTTGAAGAATGTGGGTAACCGAACAGTTGACAGTAGCCAGTGACTTCCATAGTATGGAAGAAAGAAACTCATACAGGTTTGGAATGAGGGTGAGTAAATGATGACAGATTTTTATATTTGAATGAACTACCTTTAATAAATATGGTCTACAGATTTTCCAAATATGTTGTACATGATTTTTTTCTCATTATATATTTCAGTTGATGTGCTGTTGAAGGCGGTCGGTGATACGCCCATCATGAAAACCAAAAAATGGTCTGTGGAAAGCGGGAGGACAGTACAGTCACTCGCTCAGTTTATCTCACGCTTTCTCAAACTCGATCCTAGTGAACAACTGGTATGTTATTCTCCTCCGTCATGGCACCTCATTACATTAAAGAGCATTAAAGTGCAATGTAAGACCGGGTGTGTTTTGTGTTCTATCAGCATTCAGCGTAACACACATATTTATGTAAAAATACAACAACATACTTATTCTGACCTGTGCTTATTAAAATATATAAACGAAAAGGTGATCATTCTACATTTTATTATATTTTAAATGATTAAAAACTTCTTGCTGACAGATAGGTAAAACGTGGTGGCTTGAAGGATGGTGGAAAAGATTGGTAAAGATTTAAAAATACAATTAATTAGATTTGGAGAGTCTTTTAATGTCATCTAATGATTCTTGTTCCAAATATGCCTTACAAGATTTTTTGGCATGAACTATTGTTATACTGAATGACATTTTAGTGGGTGTCTTCCATAAATCATGGTAAAAATGTATGATAGTTATTATTTTGGGCTCAGAAAAATAAAATGAAACAGGACACATTCTAATGTATGAAAATAAATCACCTTTTCGTCATTGACCCATATATTTAAAATAATTGTTACATAAAATATATTTTCATTTTTCAGTAATTATAACGTAAATATAACATATTTATATACATAAATATAATGTATGTAATGCTTTCATAAATATGTGTATTTGTGAACCGAATCAAAATAATATCACTCATGAAATCAAACAGAAAAAAAAAAAAGAATTATGAGAGCTAAACTATTGTTGTTGTTTTTTCTTATTGCTTTTCTGTACGGAATTCTTTATCTTTATCTTTCTGCTCTTCCATCAGTTCATTTATGTCAATCAGTCATTTGCTCCATCACCAGACCAGGAAGTGGGTGCACTTTTTGAGGTATGTTTTTTCGTGTGTGTGTGTGTCTCTCTGCCCCTTCTGGCTTTGTAAGAAAATTGCAAGTAGACTGAAATCATTCAGATTGCCATTTTGACAGTAGTGCAGCCACTGACAAATGCTGCTTGGCAAGTATTCATCTTACAGCCCAAAACAAAATCAAGACTTTGTAAAAGAGCATAATAGGACCCCTTTAAAGATCTACCTGCTCATATTTTGACTATTTAGGAAACTCAAAGCTCTGGTAAAATCTAACAATCCTCTTTACAAGAGACCATTTCTGTTCTAACTTTACCAGTGTAATTTATTATGGGTATAATAGGTAATGCCATAATAATACCATTTTAGTTGCCTTCATTTCTATGAAAAAAACAGTGCGTTTAGCTGATTAGCTCAGTAAACCTTGTTGTTCTACTCTGTTTTACAGTGTTTTGGAAGTGATGGTAAACTAGTTCTCCATTACTGCAAGTCCCAGGCCTGGGGATGATCGTGCAACTTTTTTTTTCTCTCTCCCTTTCTCCCGTTTCATTTATACACCTGCACACATACAGTATCAAAAACATCACTCACACATCATGATTGTTTTTATAACTTATTGATTTTTCATGTGTAATTTTTTGTAAATAATAAAATGTAAATAATATTGTAAAACAATGCAATATCTCATGGGACTTTATATATTTTTTTAAAGTGGAGCGAAGATGGAAGGAATCGGCGGAAATCATAAGAACCCCAAATACCTCTAGCAACAAATTTTGATGGATGTTTTTCATATTTAAGCTCATGTTGAAGTGATTTACAGGGACAAGGACAATATGTGATTCTCAGAAGTACAGAGTGATTACTTTTCACAGGAGGGGTGGGTAATGTCCCAGGACAGAACAGGTCACATGTAAGGGGTGGTAGAGACATACAGGGGTGTGAAGAATAGGTGGGACAGAGAGAGCAATGTGAAAGAAGACAGGATAGAAAGATGGAGACGGCGCTAACAGATGGATTGAAGAGGGATTATGGATGCTCTTGGTAGAGTGTGACACCAATTTACAAGGAAAGGCAGGAAAAGGAGGAGATTTGGGCAGGATTGTACCAAAAAAGAGGAAAAGCTGAAATAATCGCGAAAGGATAAGGATAGAAACTGCATGCTGAATCAAAGAAACAAGGACCTTCTGTATTTAACAACTGCACAGAAGGTGGAAAAAGATCAAAATTAATGGATCGAATAGGGAGAAATTATTACGATGGACATGATGTAAGAAGATTAATGTGCACAGGTAAAAATAAGCTTTTTTTAATGCAGAATAATTGTTGATTTTCTTGTAAAACCACTAAATTTAATTCTCAATTCCGCATATATAATAATGTAACATGTAAAAGGTATTGCTTTCAGATCATCATGCAATTTAAAGGAGAAACCTTTTAAACCTTTTGGTACTATTAACAAATAAATGATTGATTCAAGCATTTGTTCTGATTAGCGGACATTTTATCTTTCACATCGCTTACAAAAACATTAAAATAATTGTCAAATTTAGTCTCTATATTCCAATAAACTGTAAAAAGTGGAGATGTGCAGTTGTTGCCTTAAAAAGCTATTTCCAGTTGATCTAACCATTGAAAACGAGTTTTGTTAATGTAACCTGCAGTAATGTAGTCAGGTTTATTCAGATATGTATATATATATATATGTGTGTGTATATTTAATTGAATGTTCCATATTTTATGTAAAGGATAAATATATAAGTATCCTTAAAAGAGTTAAAAAAAAAAAAAAAAACACACACATGCACACCTACAAAGCCCAAACAGATTAAAACAGATTATTAGAGGATTACAAGTAAAGTTAGACTTAATGCAAGAGCTTAACTAATAATTTCATCACGTAACTTCAAACGTAATCCTTCATTTTCCCTCTTTCCTTTTCTCATTTTTAATCCCATTCAGGGCTGTACTGGATGATGCGTTAGGGAAAATAAAAAATAGTTCCACATCATTTATTCAGCATTACGTAAACACGTTTGATTATACAGTTCTGCTCATAAGTTTACATACCCCTTGCAGAATATGCAAGATATGAATCATTTTAACAAAATACGAGGGATCATAAAAATTGCATGTTATTTTTTTTTATTTTAGTACTGTCCTGAATAAGCATTTTAACATAACAGATGTTTGTCCTGAGCAGTTTGAAAAACTTGGTTTTCTAGCATCTTCAACATACCTGAACTTGTTTCAACAGTGACTGTATGCTTTTGAGATGCGAAACTTTTTCGATATGTACAGTACATGTGGTTGTAAACGTTTTGAATTGGATAATTGGGGCCGAACTTATTTTATATTCTGGGAAACATATATCTCATGTAGCTTTTGAAGGGAAGTACCAAATATGTACCAAATACTAAATATATAGTGCTAAAAATATATTCTTTAAACAAAACAAGAAAAATGTACACATCATCCTATTCAAAGGATTACATCCCCAGCTTTTAATGCACCGTGTTTCCATCTTGAGCATCAGTGAACGTTTTCACCTTTTGTAATAGGTGTGTATAATTTCCTCAACTGTCCTCAGTGTGAAAAGATGGATCTCAATATCAGTCACTGTTGGAAAGGGTTAAAACATGCTAGAAAATGAAAGAATGTGCAGGACCTGAAGGATTTTTCTAAAGAACTGTGGGCAGTTTAACTGCTCCAGACAAACAAGGGACTTGTGAACAACTATCACATAACAAACAAACAGTCATTGATCATCCAGCTAACAACACACATTATTAAGATAAAAAAAAAAATAAAATAATCCCTCTTATTTTTGTTAAAATTCTTAACATCTTGAATATTCAGCAAGGAGTATGTAAACTTATGAGCAGAACTGATTATGACTGATATGAGAAGAAGCAATAGTAAATAATCGTAAGGGTCCTTAGTTTAATCCGATTTACAGTAAAGAAAGTTTTGGGAATTTATTGACCTATGCCTATGGTTTTCAAAGCTTCATAAATCAAAAATATAAACAACTCAAATAATTTCTAATAAAGCAATTTAATGAGATTAAAGTGATTATTTGTGTTACAGCAATTGGTGATAGAAAAAAAATTATGACTCCATATAAAATATATAAAACAAATTAAAATATCAAATATTAAAATAATCCATATAATGATATACTTATGCCAGGAAGCAACACACAAATGTCTGTCTGTTTAATGTAATATGCCTTTTAGAATTCTTAAAGGACATTTACATTTTCTTTAAGTTTTATTTATTTATTTAATTTAATTAAATTTTTCTTTGGATAATAATCATCTGCCCAGAACAAGGTGTAGTGTATAAGCCTGTGACATATGTTGTTCTTTCCTCTCTTACTAAGGTTCTTCCCTGATCTGACCCTCTCCTTTAATAAATCCACATCTTCATTTATCCTACCATCTGTAACAGGGATCTCTTACTCATTTCTGCTTTATATAATTTTCTCAATTTCATTCTCATCCCCAAAGATTTCTTGTGCTTGGTTACTGATCCCTGTTTGCCCTTTAGAAAACCAGCTCTGGGTAGCTTTATAAAACCAGCTCCTTCCCTTTGGGTAGCATGTTGGACCACATGTCCAGGCGTTCTCGCTCCCTGGTCTCTCTTTTCCTGACCTCCCTTGCCCTCGCATTATCTGTGCTGGCTTTCTGTACGTCTTACTGGTGTGAAGGAACGCACAAGGTTGTCAAACCTCTCTGCCTTTCACCTGTCAAGATGAAGAACTGCGGACAGAACAACAGTGAACCTTACACTACAGGTATGATATAGCCTTCTGGTTTGATATTACCTGTGATAAATCACAATCATGATGATATTCAAACCAACATCACGATTGCAAGTATGACTTTAAACTGGAATAGTTCATCCAAAAAAGAAAATGTGTTGAAAATGTACTTGCCCTCAGGCCATCCAAGATGTAGATGAGTTTGTTTCCTCATCAGGACAGATCTGGAGAAATTTAGCATTACATCACTTGCTCTGCAATGGATCCAGTGCAGTGAATGGGTGCCGTCAGAATGAAAATCCAAACATCTGAGAAAAACATCACAATAATCCACAAATAATCCACACTCCAGTGAAGCAAAAGTGTTTGTAATAAACAAATATATCTTTATGCCGCTTTTAACTTAAAACCATAATATTGTTTTTTCCAGTGAAAAAGTTGCCTTATCTGAATCACAAGAGAAATATGCACAAGATCAAGCACTGTTTACGAGTAAAATCCACCCAAAACTGTTCTAAAGAAATACTGCGAGTTGGGTGCTTTTTCACTGGAGGAAATGTTAGAATAGATGATGGACTTGTGTTTTGGCTATAAACAAGTTTAAAGTTAAAATGTCTTAATAATGGATTTGTTTCTTACAAACATGCATATTTCCACTTCATAATACTTTAATTGATGGGGTTGTGTGGATTACTTGTGGATTATTGTGATGTTTTAACAGCTGTTTCAGCTCTCATTCTGACGGCACCCATTCACTGCAGAGGTTCCATTGGTGAGCAAGTGATGTAATGCCAAATTTCAACAAATCTGTTCTAATGAAGAAATAAACTAATCTACATCCTGCATGGCCTCAGTGGGCAAAGTTTCATTTTTTTAGTTCCTTTAAGAATTGAGTAACTTAAATTTTAGAGACAATGATGCCATTTGTTTTGGCTAATGACCTGCCAACGGAAATAGTTTTAAACTAAATGAAAACACAATTAACCTTTGCACATCTCTGAGCAGAAGTGGTGGTGTTTCTTTTCTGAATTTATCAGTCAGTGTTTTGAATATATTGGTTGAGTGAATGGCTCATTCATAAAGATAGTTGTCACCTACTGGCGTAATAATGTAGCCTGCAGAAAGAATCAATGAAAAATCCCCACTACTAATGCATACGTACTACAAATGCTACTAATGATACAAACAGTGACTGTACCATACACTCATTCAGGTTACTGTCAGGCTAATTGGTTGTCCTCTTTTCTCTTCAGAAAGCCCCACCTCGGATCCTCAAAACCCGTTACCAACATTATTACCAAAGCGAAGAGAGGAACTTGCCAGGATTCGACAAAGACAATTGGCCAATGCAGTGCACTACATTTGGGAGACAGGAGAAGACAAGTATACCTTCAGATATTTCCACACAGGATTTTGGGAGTCCTGTGAAAAACATGCTGATGGTAAGAAAATGTCTCATCAAGAGACATCAAAGCAATATAGTTCACCCAAAAAATGAAAATTCTGTCACCCTGAGGTATCTACTTACCCTCATGTCGCTTCCAACCAATCATGTACTTTTTATTTATGGACCACAAAAGGAGATGTTATGCTGGACTTTCATGCTGCTTATTCCCCTGTACTGAAACTGAAAGTTGTCCATTTTCATTCCACCAAATTCATTGTCAAATTTAGTGAATTGGTCACACCAAACCAGGGATTCTCAACTCTGGCCCTCAAGATCCACTTTCCTGCAGAGTTTAGCTCCAACCGTGATCAAACTCACCTGCCTATAACTTTATAGTAATCCCGAAGACCCTGACCCTTGTGTGTTTGTTTAGAGTTGGAGCTAAACTCTGCAGGAAAATGAATCTTGAGGGCCAGAGTTGAGAACCCCTGCACTAAACAATAGCATTTGTGAATATTGACGTCGGAACTGGTCAGGGACGCGGGAAGTAGGGGTGCTGAGGGGGCTGCAGCACCCCGTTTTCACATGGTTGCAAATGCAACGCCAAGTTTCTTCATTTAAATTTATTCAGTTTTAGCATTTAATAATTTATTTGTAATGATCTCTGAAATGTAAAACACACAGCACCCCCAACCGAAAACATCTTCCCGCGCCCCTGGAACTGGTACACTCACCGTACTCGTGTATTTTATGGAAAAGAGCTGCATGAACATTCTGTGAAATATCTTCTTTTGTACTTCATGAAAGTAAGAGTTTGAACTAACATATCATGTTAGTAAATGACACAAATGTAATTTTTGAGCAATTATTCCCATTTTCATTACATTACAGTTTTTACAATCCTTTTGGCACTAATTTTAGAAACTTGATGTCATTTTTCAAAACTCTAGACAAAACATCATCACTTGTAACAGATTTTCCAATGTTCAAAACATTGCATTGTGCATGCATATTTTTAAAGAAACCTTACACTTGCAGAATCATTGGTTCAAATAACTTAAAGGAACATTAATTTAGATCACTGTGCATGGGGACCATAGAAACAGCATCTCAAACAGAATGATGATGAAGTATTACATCCATAGTCAATGTAGTCCTGTTGGTTAATGTTCCACAGTAATTGATCATCATGAAATTTTCCTGATCATAACATGGAATCTTGTTTGTCAGTTTCCACAAAGCTATGCATTAAAGGGATAGTTCACCCAAAAATTTAAATTGTCATCATTTACTCACCCTCCACTTGTTCCAAACCTGTATTAGTTTCTTTCTTCTGTTGAACACAAAAGAAGATATCTTGAAGAATGATGGTAACCAAACAGTTAACGGTAGCCATTGACATCCTTAGTATTTTTTTTTCTCCATACTATGAGTCAATGACTACCACCAACCGACAAAATATCTTCTTTTGTGCTGAAGAACAGAAGAAATAAACTCATACAGGTTAAGAACAAGTGGAAGGTGAGTGAATAATGTCAGAATTTTTATTTTTGAGTGAACTATCCCTTTAAGAGTAATTCTGAGCAGTTTTTTAAATTGACATTTAGATCATTGTAATGAAATAAATAGACAGTCATCTCAGATGCAATGTGTGAATTGCTTTTTGAAGTAGTGATACTTTGATGTTATGTTGTGTCATTTTTAATAGGTGAATATAGTCAAAGGAACAAATGAACATAGGTTTATGTGTATTGTATCTACTCATTTGGAGAATGTCTTAGAGTTTTGAAAATATGCATTTTGATTACTGGTTGTGAGTTTTGTGACTAGAATTTTGAAAAAATGATTAATATCATTGAGTGTGTCAGACATTGGATTCCATTGGTATTCTTGTTCATTCTGCTAAATTACAGGAGAACGATGTCGTCGGTTCTTGGATCTTACTCCTGGAGAGACTCATGGTGAGAGTGCAGTGTGTGTGCATGAAATGATTTCTGCAGAATGATATAACCAATGATGTGTGTAGGTGTATCTGTGCCTGCAAGGCTTTCTGTATTTGTACAGTATGTGCTCATATAGTGAACTGTGTGCATGTGCTCCTCTCTGCCTGCTGCAGGTGTTCTGTGGTTGTCAATGATTGCTGAGTTCATGTACATCAGTTTGTTGGGCATGGGCTTTCTACTCATGTGGGTGGAAGTGCTGTGTGCTCATAAAGAAATGCATGCACTCAAAATCAACGCTTTCGCAGCCATATGTACAGTGCTCTCAGGTAAGATAGTGGTCCTTGGTTCTCTCTTGTGGCACATTTTGGTATTGCAGTCTTTGGTAATTATTGTTAATGTATAATATTTTGATTTCCCCCTACTTTTTTCTTTCAGGACTGTTAGGGATGGTGGCTCATATGATGTACACTACTGTATTTCAGCTAACTGTGATTGTGGGGCCCAAAGACTGGAGACCTCAGACGTGGGACTACGGCTGGTCATTTGCGTGAGTGCACTTACACTTACACAATATATTTTCATCCAGTTTATGTGTAGTAAAGTTTGACTTGATTCTGATTGGATTAAAGTGGAAGTTTGTTCGTATGAACTATGTAGATGTTTACGAATATCGTAGAAATGTTAATGAATACTTCCAGGTTCATTGAATCCGTGGAATTAATAGGCTGTTTTTATGTATTTAAATGTGTTTAGTGCTTTCACATTCATTATATGCATTTACCTACAGTAATTTTTCATAAATGTTTCATTAAGTTCTGTGTGATTTTTTTGGGTGCCGTATTCGACAGGTTTCTTTTCATCATTTACCAAAGCCTGAACTTTAAAATGTTAATAATGAAATCAAATTCTGTATTTAATCATCATTTAATTAGAAATATCCAAATAATAGTAGCTATAATATATTATAATATAATATAGGATTGTAAAGATTTTTATATGTAAATACCTTTATGTCTTAGATCCTGTCATACATCTGTATACTACAAACATAAAACTATATGTGCAAACATTATGTATAAAAAAATAACCCACAATTACTAATCAGGATGTGATATTGTAAGTCCCGAAAGCATAAAATTATTTTGTGTGAGGAACAGACTTAAATTTTAAATCTATTATTCACTGAAAATCTTCCCCTTCGCCATAGCTTTCACATCTCATTCAAGTTTGCAAATATAGAATGTTGAAGATATATGTAAATATATATTCAAATATGAAAGAGATGTTGTCTGAGGTTAGGCATCCATGATGCTAAATGCCAGTTTGAATATATCAAAATATTAGCAAAAAAACAAAACAAAACGTATATTTCGGTGTGTTCAGCATTGAGAAATAGTTCACTGATTGTTGACAAAGTTCTCTCGACAAGTTCTCGTCTAATTTTCCTCTTTCTTTTGCATGGTTCTTTCACTCACTTCTCGACTCTAAGGCTGGCATGGGTGTCTTTCAGCTGCTGCATGTGTTCTGCAGTTATGACCCTTAATTCTTACACAAAAACAGTCATTGAGCAACGTCACCGCCAGAGGCTTCGATTAGAGGAGGCCCGTGCTACAAGCCACGCTCCGTCCTATGATGAGGTGGTCCCAGGTGGCGGGCTGTACTCCGTCAGCGGCCTATTACAGTGCCCAAATGGGATGATAGACTCTATGTGGGCATCCGATGGGAGCATGGGACTGGTGCAAGAGAGGGATGTGCCCACCCTGGTACTGTTTGGAGGATGCGGACAAGATTCGTGTGAGGACTGCGAGAGAGAGATGGATGAGATGAAGGAGGCCATGAATGGAATAGATTCTCCTTGTTAATCTTGGATGATGTGAGTTGAAGGGCTAGTTCACCCATAAATGAAAATGTTGTCATTATTTAGTCCTCATCATGTCATTCCAAACCTATGTTACTTTCTTTCGTCTGTGGAACACAAAAGAAAATAACTTGAAGAATGTTAGTAATCAAACAGATTTGGTTACCTCAGATACCCAGTGGATGGAGAAAATGTATTTTTTTTAAATGTTCCACAGAAGAAAAAACTCATCCAGGTTTGGATTGACCTTTGAATGATGACAGAATTTTAATTTTGGGCGAAATATTCCTGTAGTTTTTATAACAATGGCTTTGTATGTTTTGTTTGCCTGATTAACTGACTGACGAGCAAAAACTGTCTATGCTAAATGTCTTTATAGATGATTTTTCAGGTATGTCTGTTGCTGAAATTCAGTCAGTATGAGATACTGTATGTAGACACCCAGTGGGTGTGAGAAAAGTGTCACCCTCTGTGTGTGAGTGGATTTCCAAGTGTGAGGATTTAGGAAAATTTAATTTATATTTTGAAAGGTATAAGAGACTTTTGAGTGGATTATACTGAGATATTGTCAGATCACAAAGCCTGTATTATTTTCATGTTGTATTTTAACCAAAAGGTTTCTCTATTATATCTCATATTTTCTGCTGTATTGTATTTTTTCTTTTATTTGGCTTAGAATTGACACCCAAACCATAACGAATCATAAAAAAATAAATGAATAAAAATAAAATAATAATGTAAATGTTAATGTAAATGTAAAAATTCTAAAGAATTGCTTGAAATATCGACTAAATGTGGAATTGTTGCAACCATTAAATGGTGTGATTATTTGTGCTATGGGGTTTTCTCTCACTTCTGAGAGTAGAGCAGAGTATATAGTCAATACTGTATGATATTGTAAGAATTATGCAATTTTTGGATTACTTACATTTATATAGGTCTTTAACTAATACACTTATGTCAACAGTGTACCTGTTGTGTTTATGTCACATAGCAAAACAGTTTTGCTGCTACTGAGGTGGGATATGGTTAAGGTTAGGGGCAGGTTTGGTGGTATCGTTAGAAAGTGTAGGGGTAGGATCAACACTGTAATTATTGATGTGACTACAAAAATTAATTATAGATGTAATTACAGGAAGGTGTTTTTAAATATAAGTACAATGTTAAAATATGCATGTACATAATAAGTGCATTGTATCAAATGATTCATTTAAATGTATGTTCATAGCAGTTAAAGACACTTACTATAAAGTGGGCTCCTTGCATTTACTGTTGTCCAATGTGATATTCCAAGTGTCCCTTGTATCTTCATCTATTGTCTTTAATTCCTAGTGTTCCTTGTATTTCCATCTATTGTCTTTAA